GCTGGTCGGCCGTCATCTGCTGGGCGGAGCTTGAAGCTTTCTTTCTGAAATCGGTTGTTGAATGATGAATTCATTCTCGTTATTTTTCAACTCTATTCTCATAATATTACGACTTTATTCTCCTAATTTAATGACTTTATTCTCGAAATAAAGAAAATATCTAGCCTGGCCTTAATACTCCTACGTACTTTTTGACTTGATCTTAAAAGAGAAAGGTTTTCATAGTGCGGTTAAAGCGGGTACAGAATGTCCCGTGGTGGAAAACTGTAAGGACAGCAAATGGGAAAATAATGAAATAACCAGAATCAATGAAAGATTTAAAAAAAATGGGCAAAAGGGTAAAAAATAAATGAAATATTCAGTTCTAACTTGGTACATTTGTAGAAAACTGTTGGGTTTTCTGTTTTTCACCGATGCATCATTAACATTTAAAGCTGTTGGGATTCTGTATTTCTCTACTGATGAAGTCCTTGGGGCTTAATTCAAAGCCATTAGATGGATTATTTTAACCTGTTTTTGGCTTTCATAAAGTCGTGTGTCCTTACAGATATTTCTTGGGCTTCCAGATTTATTGTGGTTCAGTTAATAATTATTTATGAAATGAATGTTTTGTTATGACTCCTGTAAGCAGGGCCTCTGCACTGAGTGCAGGGTTATGATCAAGTTGTTCTAAGGTATGTGCCTTTGATGCTTACTGTAAAAGTTAAGGTTATGTTTGCGCCAAATATAAAAGAAATCAACCAAGAAAAGCATTTCTGGTGTCTTTGATCTTATTCCTGTTAACTAACACTAATGTGTTTAAAATACTGGAAGTAAAAAATGGAAAGAAAAAAACAACTGAAATGGAGGAAACATGTTTAGTCTTGAATCGAATCGTTACCTTTAGAGTAAACAGCAGTAAAAACTTAAACGCTATAAAAAAAATGAAGATTTTATATCCATCCATCTATTCTAACATGTTTTTACTGTTGAACATTCATTTAAAATGTGCTTGTTTTTTCCCCCTAAATTTCTAATGTTTATTCAGAAATATTCATTTACTAAAAGTATCTCTTTTTAGATTAATAGAAAAAAAAATGTAGATCAGTTGTTTACTAAAATAGCACAAGCCCAAAAAAAATAACTTAATAAATGTACTAAAATTGTATATTTAGGGTGAAGACTTTTTTTTTTTTTGCACATTTTTTGTAAAAATAAAAAAATGAAGGGAATATATATATATATCTGCACTGTCTAAAAAGTTAAAGTTCATTGCTATAACTTAGTATGGAAATGATTAAGATTAAAAAATAATAAATAAATAGAATGTCTAAATTTGTACAGAATGAAATTGGAAAAAAAAAGTGCATAAATTTTGTGTTTTTTTTATAATTTTGACAGGTCCAAAATATCTAAATATTGATTGATGGATGAAGTCCTGCAAGACGTGACCTTTTTAACTTTGCTTAATAACTTAGACAGAAAAGCCGAAATGATCAACATTTTTCTGAAAACAGCTGAATTGATCGTAGGGCTTAATCTGATTGATTGATTATTGAAATAATCGTCAACTAATGTAGAAATCAAGTTATCATTACTGGAGTACATAGACTTTAAAACATGCCTTTAGCTGACAGAGTGACCCGCTTAGAGCAGGAATTATACCAAAATTGCAAAAAAAAATAAAAAATATAAACATTTTGTATTTAAGATAAAAAAATGTTTTTGTCTGTCAAAATGCTCTATCCAGAATTCTTCTAATGGGAAATTTTTAGTTTCACCTGGTTTGATTTTGTAAAAAATATTTAAGGAACCTTTGGCTATCGGAATATTAATCAATTAATAAAAAAAAGAAATTCGATTTGCAAAATGGTTAGTTGCAGCCCTAATTGATTGACAACAATTTTGCGAAGTTAATTTTTTCCATAATTGCTGCAATCAAAGAAAACATTTTGCAAATGGAGGAAAAAAAATAGAAATGATGCACTGAAAATCTTAATCGGAAAAGGGTTTTGAGAGGACTTGGGTTATTTCTCAGATCAGATAAACATTTTTAAACATTTAATATTTTTGAAATTTTGTTCATATTCGTTTTATGATTATGTGTGTTTAATCATTGCGTCTGGATTGAGCTGCAATCCAGACGCTCCTTTGACTAATAAAATGTTGCTAACATCCAGCAGACCAATAGAAACGCGTCTTTGCTGCTCCCGCCAGAGGAAAGCCCCGCCCATAGAAGTGAATTAATAATATTGTTTATAGCCCTAAAATAATGTGATGTGAAAAACGCGATTTAAAAGAATAAAGTTCATAAAACTCCATCTGAAAAAAGAACATTTGAAATCATAAAATTTAAAAAGAAAAAAAATGTATGATGGAAAAGTTCAAGGTATAGTGGAGCATTTTGGAGACCCGCCCTCTCCACTTTAAAAAAAAAATGCACATGCACAACCCTGTACTCTCTCCCGAGAGGGACAACTATTAAATGTGTCCGAATAATGTGTCCTGTTTAACACTTGCTATTCTCATAGCTCATACGAGCTTAGTTTTGCAATTTTTCCACTACGCCAGACTCACCACCGGTTAGTGAAACTAGCATCTATGACGGCCTTACGTAAACATATCACCAGATTGATTGATATTTAGATAGACCATTTATTTTGATGATCCACCTGGAAAAAGAACATCCTGCACTATAGCTTTCAGTAAACAAAATAACCAGTTTTGGAAAAAAATCATGTATTTTAAAAAAAATAATTTTTTGAAAACCTCTAGACTTTTTTCTGATAAAGACTTCTTTGAAATGTTAATTTCTGGATGTAATTCTTATTCCAATTAGCAAAACCTTTGGTTATCTCTGGTTTGTTTTATTAACATCTTTATAACTAGCAGCACAGACAAGACTCTTTTCTAGACAAACATTGGACATCAGATTTAAGAGGTCAGAGGGGGTGTTACCAACCTCACAACGTTGAGTTAAACTGCTTTTTTTATTTCAACATTGCAATGAACACAAACATTAAGTTCAGTTAAATATTCACAAACAAATGGGTTAAATTAGTGCAGATTTTGCCAACCCAAGTGGGAAGTCACCTGACCTGCACAGAGTTGGGGGGGGGGGAATGAGCTGCCAGTGTGGGTCCGTAGGTAAGACCCTTCATGCTAATGCCTGCTTTGTAAGTCACACATAAGAAATGGATAAAAACTACAATAAAACAAATTTTTTTGAGGACCAGAATGTTCACATTTTGGACAAAGAAAATTATTGGTTTGAGAGAAGCGTAGAGGAAGCCATCTTTGTAAGAGAAAGAAAAAACAACTTTAAACAGAGGCATCAATGCAGCAAATGAGTTGATCCCTTCCTGCTATCATGGCAACCGCAAACCCTTTACAGGGAACAGAAGACCTTGCCTGTTCAGCCAGGCCAACAATTCCATTTAAAGTCGTAGGGAAGCGCATGTTCCAATGGTTGCATTTCCCAATTCTCCTGAGTGGTGCCCGACTTTACAGTTGAGTGAATAAAGTGAATGTGATTGGTCGTTTATCAAGGGGGCGGGATTGTTGTGGCGGAAGGTTTGCAAGCAAGTTTGGTTGTGGTCGGTTTGTCGGAAGCATCTTGCTAACCAGTTAGCAACTTAGTGCTAGTAGGTTCCCAATGGGAAATTCCATTGGGACCAAGTAGCACTAATCAACGACACTCAAGGAATGCTATGGACAGCGGAAAGATGCAACAGGAGG